ACTCGGCTGCTCAACAAGGGCCCCGCCTGGGCCGGCCCCCCATGCCTACGGGGCCACACAGATGACTAGGCTCAGCCCCTCAAAATGGGGCAGGCGCGCTGAAGGATGTGGTTGGGAGTTGGGCTCAGCCCACAGAGCTGGGGAAGCCTTCTGGAAGGAGGGCAAGGCACCACGGAGACCCACCAGGGGAGACTGAGCTGGGCTGCTTGCAGCCACGGGGGAACTGGCCTGGTTGTCCTGGGGAAGGAGGGTGCAGGCAGAGCTGGCGGGGGGCGGCGCAGCAGGCCCACGTGCCTCACACAACCCTCGGGAGCAAGATCCTGACCACAGAAAGGGAGGAAGAGAATCATCGATCGTGCGTTCAGGGCTCAGAGGTCAGACTCTGCCTTAGGTGACACGGCAGGTATGGCACAACCAAGAACTGCGGACCAAGCCCGGGCTCTCTTGGTCTCCCTCCCTCTCATCCCCCTGGGCGGTGGCAGGACTTCAGGCCCCCACACCCAGGCAGAAACAAAAGCCACTTCCTGTCTGGGGAAGGACAGGAGGCCATCCTCTCTGACCGGTCCATCCTCCTGCCCGTCACAAAGTGGGAAACCAAGGCACGAGCTGGCCGGTAACACCCTGGGTCCCCAAGCAAGTAGGGCATTTCAAGGCACATCCTCTGATGGGCCAAGAGCTCAGCTGGAAGGTGCCTGAGGAGCCGGGTGCCGGCCCTCCAGGAGGGCCCGGCCGCTCACCTCCGTGCTGGCCTGCCAGACAGGCCCTCTGGAATGTGGCCCTGGGACACCCCGCCTGGTACAACTGCGCGCTGACGTGGCCGTGGCCAGGGCAAGGCCACCCAAGGGGACAAGGCCACCTGAAGGGGCAGGGCAACGGTGCCGTTGACCATCTCTATCCATGAAGATAGCCACAGAGCTGGGAGCCTGACTTGGCTTCCACCCAACCAGGTGACCCTGCACAAGGCCCTGGGCCTCTGTTTCCCCATCTGTCAGCTCCAGACAGAGAGCCAGGAGCCCCAGGCCGGCAGCCCCCTCCTGCACCCCGCTCAGGTGTCCTGCCAGGCCCGCGTGCCCGGCTGGGTCCCCGCGCTCAGCTCTCCTGGGTTTGTGCTAGTGAGCGGTTGCCATGGAGACCAGTCTCGGCTTCTTTGGCAGAAAAGGGCTCCCCCAGGGCAGGGCTCTGCCTCTCCTCACCAGCCCCTACCCTGCCCAAGTTCAAGTGCCCAGTCTGCCACAGGCTGGATCAGAGGAAAAAGAAACCTGGGCCTCAGGGAAGTTGGGGCAGGGTCTCAGCTCCCGACAACCCCCCTCCGATGACGAACAAGGCCTGTGTCAGCTCCTCGGGCTGGGCCTGGCTCCGGGAGCGGAGTGATGCCTCCCACGCCCTTGGCTCTGCTTCCATTTTACAGATGTTAGAGTGGGAACCCAGAGGCAGCCCCGGCACCAGGAAGCAGAGCTGGGGAGAGAGGCCCCGAGACCCTCACCTGACGGGCTCCCTCTTTCTCCTGAGCTGGCAGGCATGACTGGGCTCAGAGTGGGGAGCAGGGGGCTGCCAGGCCGGTAGGGGCCACGAGAGCAAGGGCCATGTGCCCGGGGGGACCTCCAACTGCCTGTCCCATCGAGCCCAAGGGCACGTGCCCGGAGGGCTCTTTCCCTGGCCGGAGCAGGAGGCGTGCATCCCCACCTCCACCAAGAGAACACTGCCCCGGGGCAGGGGTCCTGGTCCTACTCGGCTCACTGCGTGAGCTTGAATAGGTGCCTGTCCTCCTCTGTCCACACAAGCAGATGGACGGAAGCGTCTAGAGGTGGCTTCTGGGCTACCTCAATTTTACCCAACTGAAGCAACCCCAGAAGAAATGCCAGAGCCAAGTCCGGACCAGAGCCAGGGCTGGCCCTCCTCACCTGCTTCTGAGGCCCGCTGCCCTCAGGGGGTTCTCATGGGGAGGAGGTGAGGCCATAATTAGCCGGGAATGCAAGGGCAGAGGCAGAAGCTACTGCAGTTTCCCAGGATGGAGACCGGCCTGGTGGCCAAGGGAGGGGTTCTCAAAGGGACCTGGAAGGGCCTGAGCCACACAAACACGGGCAGGGCACAGGGGCCGGCCCGGCAGGTGCGGACACACAGAGGGGAAGGCAGCTGACATGGTGTGGTTCTCCTGGGGGGTCTGCTTGGCCCAGGTGCTTAAAAATATCCTTGCGTGCTCCACCAGCCCAGGAGGTGGAGAGGAGGAAGTAGTAACCCAGAAGGCTCAGGGGATACCCCCAAGGTCACCCAGCTGGGAAGCTGACAGCCTGCCTCGAACTCTGGCCTGGAAGATGAGGTTTGAGCTGCCCACTGCAGTGGCCCCGGGCACTGTGGCTCTCACTGCCTGAAACGTGGCCAGTCCCGCCTGACACGGCTGTACCTGTAGGTCACACACCGGGTTTCAAAAGTCAGTGTGAGAAAGAGCAAGATGTCCCATGAATAGCTTTTATATTGATGACACGATGAAATATTTAGACATGTCAGATTGAATAAAATATATTAATTCATTTCACTTATTTCTTTTTACTTTTCTAACGTGGCTCCTAGAAGTATTTAAATTACATATGTGGCTTGCATGATATTCCTTTTGGACAGAGCTGGTCTATACCATAGGGCTAAAAAGGCACAGGACAGATTTAAAAGAGAATGGAACACCTTCCGTTCTTTGATGACGAAGCCGGGGCCACATGGGTGAGGTTCTCAGGGGCCAGGTGGGCCGAATGTCAAAGATGACAGAGCAATTCAGGGTCTGCATCCCCTCCTGTGTCCCCGCTGGGCCAGCCAGCAACAGGTGGACTCAAGCCTAGGATGACCACTGCCCTGCCCTCCCCCTCCAAACACATCAAACCATAGTAGTTGTCAGAGAGACAGTAGATCTTCCTAAAAACTGAACTTGGGGGCAGGGGCGTGGGGAGTCCGCCATAAAGAGAGGGAGAGGGAGCCAGGCTTATCCGGAGAGGAAATCTGTGTACGTTGTTGTGGTTGGGTGTCGGGGGAGGGGTGGTGCCTGAGCCCTGGCCGGGGGCAGGGAAGGATGCTGTTTGCACAGAGTTTTCCGGGCCTTCCTCCCCACGGCCCACGCCCCTCTTAGCTGCCACTCTCCATCCCCCCTAACCCATTCACTCGAAATTTCCTATCTTGTGCTCCCGTGCTGACTCTGGGACCCAGGGAGGGCTGGGGGCAGATAAGCTCCACACCTCCCTGATCCCACCCCCTCCCCTCAGTCCCTGGCAGAGTCCGGGTCCCTGAGAATACCAGGGAGGGGTGGTCTGCGGCCGGAAAAAAACAAGTTGTAAAGTGTGGCAATGCCAGAAGCAGCACCATGCAGTGTGCCCTGAAAGGTGGGGCGTCTCTTCCCAGGCCGAGGCTTACTGGTGGGCCCTATGCCTGCCTATCTGCACTCCCTAGGCCCTCTCGGACACGGGCTGCACAGGGCCTCGGTCTCCTCTCTGTATTCAGAAGCCCCCCACCTTCTCAGGCTTCTCCCCACTTTACGGTGACACCTAAGTTCCCAGGTCCTGGGCAACATGTCCTGCTCAGCAGACCAAAGAAAGAGCCCCCTGGGCACGGCTCAGCTCAGAAGCTGTGGCACCCACGGATACCCGCTTCCAACTCCCTGGAACGGGAGAGAACAGACGGCCAAGGGGCTTTGAGAGCGGGACAGGGGGAGGAGGGTCTCCCATCAGAGTTCGTCCCTCCTACGTGACACAAAACCCCGTTCAACAGAGGCCAGGAGAAGGGAAGGGGACGCAGGGGCACACGGTTCACGCCAGGACTCTGCTCTCCTCTCCCCCAACCTACAAAGTTCTCTTTACAGTCTGTCCAAAATTCCTTTTTTTTTTTTTTTTTTTTTTTGGTTGTTCCAGATTTTGCTAAATTGTGGTTAGGCAGGTTCTGGGCCAGGGTGCCATGTGTACCGTCGCTGCTCGCCTCCCACAGGGAACCCCATAACCGGCCTGGCCAGAGTACTTTTCTCTCAAGGTTATACACCATTCTCACCTAGAGGCAGCTCAGGCCACGGAAGGGCCCTACTCCCAGACCCCTGAGAACTGGGGGAGGGGGAGTGAGCCGCCGGAACCCCAGAACGCTGTCCATCCCCCAGGGGCCGAGGGATCAACCCCCTCACAAACACCAGCTGAGACTGGCCCAAGGTCACACACCAAGCACATGAGGGGCAAATCTGGGAGTAGAAACTAGCAGGGCTATCGACCCCCACCCCATCCCCAAGGCTGGTTCCCAGAGATGCTCCCACGGGACCAGGCGGCCCCCTCTGCAGCCCCAGTGGCCTGCGCCCTACCCCAGACCCCAAGCGCCATAGAGCAGGGGGAGGCGTCTTCAGGCCTGTAGCCAGGGCCAGCTGCAAACCGCATCCTGGGTCTCCAGGCGCCGCGGACCCGCCCCGCCCCTCCCTCTGCTCCCCGCAGCCCCGAGCCTTTGTCAGCCACGCGCTCACACACAGACCCGCGCCGCCCGCGCGCACACACCCGGTCTCTCCTGGCGCACACTGGCAAGGGGCGCGCGCACTCGCCGCACGCACGCAGGGGAGTGGAGGCGGCGGAGGAAGGAAGGAACTGACCCGCTACGGCCCAGACAGACCGCCTCGGCTGGGGGAAGGGGAAGAGAGGCCGGGGAACCTGAGGCTGGGGCGGGAGGGGGCGCGGAGGCAGAACACAGAGAGGCTCTCGGAGAAGACAACGGAGGGGACGTCAAGGGCTGGCGAGGACGCGCGGGCTACTCCAAGGATGGGGACCCCTTTTAGCCCCTGGCCCGGCGGGGCGGGGTTCAGGGGGACGGTCCCCGGATTGGACCCGTGATTCACCGGGCTTCACTTGCCCAGTTGTGCCTGAGCACAGGGCCCTTAGAAACCCCACGTAAGGCTTGAATATAGGGGCCCTGGGACCAAAGGCTTCCCGGAGTACTTCCAGGCGGGGGGGGGGGGGCCGGTCCTGGTTCTCGGGCTGGGTGGGGCCCCCGCTCACCTGCCACGGTGTACCTGTCCAGGTAGTTGAGCACGTTGCCCAAGCTGAGGATGGCGGCAGCTGCCCCCCGTCCGCGGCCCAAGCTGGCCGGTTTGGGCTGCTGAGCGCCGGGGCCCTTGGCAGCGGCTGCGCAGCTGGGGGTGCCGGGGGCGCCGGGGGGGCCGGACGGAGCCCGCCTCACGCTGCCCGACAGCGTCTGCACCTCATCGTCGGCGGCCGCGACTCCAGCGGCGCCCACTCCCCGCGCCCCGCAGCAGCCGCCACCTCCAGCCCCTCGCTGCGCCCCCCGGCGCCGGCGCCGCCGCTCCGCGTCCGCCTCCTCCTCCTCCGCGCCGCCCGCCGCCGCCGAGGCGCATTCCAGGCACATCATGCCGGCCGGGGCGGCGGGGGGCGCGGGGGGCGCGGCGCCCAGCGCGGGCCCCCTCACGGCGTGCGTGCGCCGCGGAGCCGCCGCTGCACCATCCCGGCCGGCCCGTCGGCTCCTGCGCTCCGGCCCGGCTGCGCGCGGCCCGCGTTCGGCGATGCGCCGCCGCGGCCGCTGCCTGAGCTCTGACAGCTGCGGCCCGGCCCCGCCCACCGGGCGGCGCCCAATCGGCGCGCGGCTCGGCCGCGGCCCCGCCCCGCACGTGCTGCCCGGGGCCGCCGACGGGGGCGCAGTGGGCCGCGCGGCCGCGGAGGCCTGAGCCTGGGCTGCCCCACTCCCCCGCGCGGAGGAGCCTCGGGCGCGCGTGCGGCGTCCCGGGCAGAGGCGAGAGGGTCTCGGGCGCGTGGGCGGGGCGCCTGCAGCAGAGCTACTCTCCCGCCCTGATCGAATCGGCCCGGGGAGAGCCTAGAAGCCTGACCGGTGGGGGGGTTCGGCCCGGGCCCCGGGCCTCCGCCAGGCGCAGACGGCTGTGTTGCCCACCGCCCCAGGGAAACGCAGCTCCAGCTCCTGACCCCTCCCTGGTCCCATTCCTGGGTGCGCGCCGAGACCCTCCCCGTGCCCCACCGAGACGCAGCCTCTGGCAGGGAGAGCCGGGCTCCCATGGGGCCTCCCCAAGCTTCAGACTTCCAGCTGTGCGCCAGGAAAGGGACAAAGCCCGGAAAGGAAGACCCTGGGCAGGCCCGTAGCCCTCTCTAGGTCTCTGTGTCTCTCCGGGGGTAGAGGGGGAAGACAGGATTCAGTCTGGTCTGAGGGGTCACCACCCGCTGCGGAGGAGGGCGAGTCCTGTCTCCCGTGGAGAGTGGCCGAGTAACTTCCGTGTTCGGGGCCACAACCCATCTCAGAGGAGCTGTAGTTCTGTGTCCCACCCCCAAGCCCACCCCCTTCATCTGTTTGAGGCTTTGACTGATATTAAAGTCCCACACAAAGGGCTGAGGACAGAATGTTAACACTACACAGAGCTTGGAAACCCAGAAGCACCCCATGGTTCACAGAGGGGTCCCAGAGCCCAGAAAAGACCCCATCATGGACATGCAGCTAGCTGGTGGCAGAGTCCGTGCTGACCCGGGGCTCTGATACCACCCTCCCGGGTTGGGAGCTCAGTTCCCACCGCGGGCTGTTCTGGACCCCATGTCCACAGGCAGATGCATCCCGCGAAAGTGTTGGCCACAGTGAGTCATGGCATAGCCAATGGGTGATGCAGCACGAGGCACCCTCTTCCTGCTGAGAGCAGAGTTAATCCCCAGGCTGGTGTTTCTCGGCGCCTTTGAGGTGTGTTTTAAATTCTGCAAAGTGACTAAAAATATGCTTTGGTGTGTTGGGTATGGATGACTGTCACGGGAGGGCCAGGAAACAGACTCTGTTCTGAAAGTTCCCTGCTGCATCTTTACAGCTTGAAGCCGGATAAGGGAAATTCTGCGGGGCACCCTGGGACGACAGGTGCTCAACAGGTCAGCACGACCTACGAGCTCCATGGGGCTAGGGCTGGGCCCTGGCAATGCCCCTCCTAACTGTGGGGTGGTACCAGCTAGAGGACAGTGCCCAGCTGCAGGGCTGCATCCAGCTGTGAAGGAGACACAACCACGGCTCAAAGCCCAACCCCAAGGTCCCCTTCCCACTCACCAAAATTCCTCCTCCTTTCAACCATAGCCCTGCCCAGGGAGGTAGCTTTAGCTCTTGGCCAGAAAGGGGAGCACTCCCTTTCCAGCCCCCAGTAGGCTCAGAGCGGGGGAAGGGGTCAGAGTTTTGAGCCTTTCAAATTTGGGGCACCTCTGAGCAGCTCTTCGTGCTGTGTGGGGGTTTCTGGGATTTTAACTCAAAGGCACTCTCTAGAGCATGTCTCTGGATGGGTACTAGGCCACCGAGGGCAGGACAACAGGGACAACAGGAGCCCTGACTGTGTGGCCCTGGGCAAGTCACGGTGGTCTCCTGAGAGCCTCTGGCAGTATCAGTGGACCACCAGCCGTAGGACTTGTAGGGCCCTTCTCCCCATCTCCCCGGTGAAGAAACCGAGCCCAGGGAAGAGAAGGAATGTGCCCAAGGTCACACGCCTGGTAAACGATGGGACTCACACTAAACCCAGGTGTGCCTGCCCCCGATGCTGCTCTGAGCTCCGCCAAGACACAGCTCCTCAGCAGCCCCAGAAGGTGAGGCTGATCTCAGCGATGGCTAAAGGTCTTCCATGTTTGTTCGTGACGCCTAGACAGCA